TCACTACCTCCCCTGGTTCTACCACTTCCACCACCCTTGCAATAATGGTACCTGAAATCCCAATCGTGAGCATTCTCAGCATAAATGGACATACAGTCTCGTAGCGGCCACTTGATATGCTAACTTCGAACACCATTCTCACGAACAGAAGCTCTGGCGAAGCCTTCGCGCCTCCCACAACAACTGCTGACGCCAATTCAGAAGCAAGCAACGCGGCAAACACCTCGACTCAGTGTGTCTCGTCTCAGCGCTGACCTTACATTGAACAGCTATCGAACATACTCGTACACAGCCTAGACGCCTACCCTATTTGCCCAGCTCAAGTCCTCCACAGAACAACACCGCCCGCTCCGAACAGCGTACGTGCATTGGAAGTTTCGAGGCGCCTCAAAGATCGTGAACTGACAGCTCACGTGGCAAAGAATGACTCGCTGCGTCAGCAGATTTGCACCAAACATGGCTTTAAGACCTGTTCGCCTTACTCTGCATTCCCGTCTGCCTTGGTTCGCCGTCGGTATCTGCCTTGCAATTACCTCCGCGGGTCTTCCGTTCGTCGTAACGGGTAGCGAAATGTACGCGAAACAAGCTGGACCAAGGGTCGATGCAACGGACAAGGTCGCAGGTTTCTTTACAGAAACGAGTCCACCAAGTCAATCAGGTCAACCTGAGCAGTCCATACAGCCAATCACCGCTTTCCTCCACAGGATTGGTCCGAACGATGACGCGACACAGCCAAAGGGACCAAGTCACAATGAGGTCTTGATCAAGTCTCGACCTGGCATCTTTTGGCGCCGCGATGCGCGGTCACCTACAGACGATGAAGGCGGAGACGAAATGGACGGTTGGGATGTTCGGAACGGCACACAAGCTCGCCGGGTGAGTTTCAGCCACTGATTGTCCACGTGGTGTTACTTTTGAATCGATCAAAAGTATTCTGAGATTCAGACACAGACGCTTTCATTATACTGTTTACATCGTGACACGCAGCGAGGATCGAACCCACTGGCTACGTTGAGATCGAAAACTTTCGCGCCCCAATAGCTGCATGGCTTCCACGTCCCCTTTCAGTCTGATCGATGTGTTGCCATGGCAAAAGTCTTCCTTCCATCTCCCCCATTACCTACGCGTGATACACAGGCGATATTAAAAGGAAGCAGCAGCAGCAGCAGTGGCAAGAGCAGCGGGAGCAGCAAAAGCGGTGGCAAAAGCGGCGGCGGCAAAAGCGGAGGCAGCAGAAGCGGTGGAAGCGGTAAAAGCGGCGGCGGGGTGAGCAGAGTAGCTTGGGGAAGGACGTATTACAGGACGCGAAACCACAACGACGACGATGACGAATGCGACGGTCTTTTCGACAGTTACTCCAACTGCGTCACGGCAGGTACGTGCGACAACAAATTGGAGATTTGCGTGGCGAGCAACGGCGTCACATGCGATAGCGACTTCGCAGACTGCTTGAAAACGAAGGAGCCAGCCTGCGAAAACTTTTACTCGAAATATAACGACTGCGTGTACAACGCTGGCGAGAGGCTCGGTGTATCGCTGAAGCTTGTATGGATGCTGACTGTAGCATTTGTCCTCGCGCTGGTACTTTGAATACGGCATTAGAAGCACCCCCGATTCCCGTAGTGCCTCCATGTTCAGTGTTCAAATGCTTTTGGAATGCCTGAAAGTTTAAGGGTAAGGATCTAGTTAGAGTCTCAGCTTGGAATAAGCACAAGGGTTCTGTTAGAGTCTGCAGTTAATCATGGGTGAAGAACTTCTGGTAGTAAACGCATCATTATTGCAAGGTAGCAATTATTATACACTGAGATTCGTATGCAGTGCTACGATTCATATACCGTACATGCTTCTCCCCTCAGGTATGTACAATCATCCACATTCAACTTGTTAAACCATCCATGCCACATCGATACCCAGCTCAGCTGAACGGTGCAACCATGTGCGATGGCAATAACGAATCAGCCACTGAAGCAATCACAGCAAGATAAATCTCACTCCCGCCAATTGTTGCAAGCTTATTGGACGGCATAAAATCGTCTGCTGATACCATGTGGATGCATGTCAGGCCCCATGACTGCATGAGGAGGTGCAGAGAGGCATGGGTGCTGCATGGCGGATGGGGGGAGGAAAGGGAGCAGGAAGGGTGGGGCAGAGGGGATGTGGATGCATGTCAGACCCCATGACTGCATGAGGAGGTGCAGGGAGGCATGTGTACTGCATGGGGGATGGGGTGGGGAGCGGGGGGGTGAGGGTCGGCATGTGAGCATCATGCATGAAGGACAACGGGAGCCAAATTCATCCTGCCTGCGTGTCTGATAAGGCAAAGGCATGAGATCACTCATACCTGCGTGCTTGATAGGCGGTAATGAAGACTGAGCCTCGTTTCAACCCTAGGAGAAGATGCACCGTGGAGAGGAGGGGATCAAAGGCTGCAGCAGGAGTAGGAGAGATAGAGAGAGAGAAGCACAGAGAGTGTGTGGAGAGTGATAGAGAGAGTGTGGAGAGTGATAGAGAGAGTGAGAGAGTAGAGATTCATGAGATCCACCACCAAAGCACCCTTCATTGACCCACTCAGCGAAGCACAACCTGAAGAATTACCTGAAGCAACAAACAGCATAATGCACCATGCCTGAACCACACCTGAAACACATCTAAAGCGCACCTGAAGCACACCTGAAGCACACCTCAAACACACCTGAAGGACACATGACGCACACCTGAAGCATCATAGAGCACGTCTGCTCCTATAATGACGTCAGCAGGGGCAGCTGAAAGACCGGGTGAGACACGTCGCCCCAAGTGAGTGGCACCACGCTCACAGTCCCACTTCGCAGTGAGGATGCTTTTTCAAATTCCCCAAGTTTCCCTGATTCAGCACGCTCCCGATATTCCCCAGAGTCTTTCCCTGGTGCCGAACAGGCCTCCACTCCCCTACAGGAGAGGCCGCTCAGCTCTGCTGCTTGATGCAGGCTGGAGAGAACCTGAGACAGCAGGTGGGAGTGGGGATTGGAGGGAGCATTTTTTAGGCGTCTCAAAAGACCCCCCAGATTCTCCTTTTGGTGACTGACAGCCCTCCACTCCCCTACAGGAGAGGCCGCTCAGCTCTGCTGCTTGATGCAGACTGGAGAGAACCTGAGACGGATGGGGGACCACGTTGGTGGAAGGAAGTGAGTTTCTTACTTGTGAACTGGGCATTGTATTGGGAAATAAACAGGAAGGAGTGTATAGAAGAAGCAGCTGACCTGGGTTTGCGAGTGGGCGTCTGTGAGGGTGACTTGCGCGCCGAGCTTGGCACAGAGAATGCCACACAGGCCTGTTCCCGCCCCTAGCTGCCGTGCAACCACAGAATGAGCCACCAGCAGGAGATGGGAAAAAATATGAGGGAGAAGGCAAATAAAATCCACTCCCACTCACTCACATGGAAGCATAGAACTCTTTTTTGTACGAAACAGCACTATCAGACATGCATATATCCTACATACGTACTTGCAAAAGCCATTTATCACATACCTACCTCAAGAACGCTCTTCCCTTGTATCACCCCTCGCTGCTGCCACAGGTATTCCGCCAGCACCACTGCTGCCGGCCACGTGTGCAGCCCCACGTGCTGGCCCAGGTGCTGGGGGGAGTGTGGGGCAATAGGAGGAAATGGGGCATGGGGGAGGGAGATGGGGGAATTCCGCCAACCCCACGTGCTGGCCCAGGTGCTGCCACAGGGGAGAAGGAGGCGAAAGTGAAGGTAGATATGCCTTCAGAGTTAAAAGGGAAAACGGTTAAAAGTGGGAATGGGGGAAGACGGGAATGCAATGTGGCAGGAGGAGAGAAAACCGTGCTTCTTCAGCCCTACACTCAAGTGGTATAAATTCTTACTGAAACAAAGATGACCCTTTCGTCCTACCCTAAACCTACAATCTATTTTTGATGTAAAACTCGCAACGGAAGCATCCTAAATGGCACTCTACTACACGTAACATTCTAATACTAGGTACCTCTATGACCGACACTCGCAGGGCCGGGCTCTCGCTGTGCGTTTTGAAGCTGCTGCTGCTCCCGCCGATATTTTCGCTGCTCGCGTAACCGAACCGTCTGTTTCGCAATTCGGAATCTGTGCGATTGTCGCGACCGTCGCTGGAGGTGCTGCGAATGTCGCTGGAGGTGCTGCGAATGTCGCTGGAAATGATGCGACTCCTGTTCGTCGGAACCAAATCGTTAGTAGAATCTCCCCTGTGAAAAATATAGACACGAATGGCGGACATGGAACCAAGTGGCCTCGTGCAAATGCGCGTCGACTCCTGTGCGAACAACTGAGCTCTATTGTCGCTTGGCGTCAGGCTAGAATCAGGAAATTCGAATATCTGCAAAATTCCTCACTAGTGTTGACTGGGGCTTGCATTCGTTCTAGACGATTCTGGTTCAAAACGTTTCTCTGCGTTGTCAAGGGTTTAGGTGTATTAAAAAATCGGTTGAGAATGTTTCTGAGGCGAAATAGAATTCGAGACATGCCTACAAGGTGTGGTATAAATTTTGTATCTGTGGGCTTCCGAGTTATGTCTCCAACAACTACGGTTCCATGTGATGCCGTGTGGTAGCTTCAAACGAGGATGCCCAGCAATCGTCGATACAGCGAAACCAGAAAGTCATCACAACGCCATCGCCGATCAACACTTTGCATCAGTAACACGGTCGTTCACGACACACCGAAGTATTTTTGCATCAGTGCACACCCACACCTTCGCCTGAGTTTCGTCACCTCTCTAGCCGCCCTTTTGTCAGTTCCCGTTCATCCCCGTCCATGTTGCCACCCTACGCCTCACACTTCTCTCCACCGAAATGTCCCAGGTCGCTGTCGTATTCGTATTTCGCCGCACCGCGCTCACTGCTGACGATCTTGAATTCGCGAAGCGGCTGCTCGCAATTTTCGTAAGCCCAGCCTACACTGCCACCACTTCGTACAAATTCCTCGCCAGCAACTCAATTCTCATCACAACCAATTTGCTTCCTCGATCCAGCCTAGTTGCTTTCCTTCACCTCCGCCGCAACACACGGTTCTTCGTCCGCTACTCCTTACCCCACTCGATCCGCATTCCCACCCAATTCCTAGCCTTCGATTTTAACCGACCATTAGTTTCCTCTTCTTAGGTACTGAATCTTCTTTCTTTAGCAGCAGAGCCTTTCTATCCCCACAATGGCCAGTTCTCGCATCCTCTCCGTTCTCGGGGTCATCTGCGTCGCCCTCTGCGTGGCTGGCGCGAACGCACAAGCGACGCCTCCGCCGAAGCCCACAAAGGCTCAAATCAAGGCTGAGCTCAACAACATGGCGACAAACATCACGAAGCGTTACCCGCAATACGCGAAATACGCCAAGGACATCAACCGTTACATCGGCCTCGCGCTCAACTCCAAATACGACTTCTCAGCCCTCGCGGACGCCACCATCCTCCTCCCCAGCGACACAGAAGCCCAAGCCCTCGCTAAGAAGCTACCCGCTAAGAGCAGCAATATCCCCACCATCTACAACATCACCGCGTATCACATCCTCCGCAGGAAGCTCACGGTTCCTCAGCTGAGCTCGCTCAAGAAGTCGCAGCCGCTGGCGACTCAACTGAAGCAGGCGATTTACAAGGTTACCGCTCAAAACGGTAACGCCGTGTCGTTTTCCCAGGGGCCGAACGCGCCTGCTGCCGCGTGGACGACCATCCAGATCGCGCGGCTGTACGCTGGGCCTTACTTCATCGCGCATGGAGTGGATAAGGTTCTCATCCCCGCTGGCACGACCATGCCCAAGTAAAGATAATTGGAGTGCCCACTTTGAGGCGTCAAAACCCTAGCTATTGTCTTCAGTTGACTGTCAGTACCTTGGTGTTCAATCTCTGAACAGATGCGACTGACTGTCAACTGGACGATGAGTATTTTTCCGTTCATGTATTGAACATTGAAGGTCACTGGATAGAGGTAGTTTATAGTCACATAATTACTATGTCCTTTGTGTATACAAAGCTCTTAATTCTAGTGAGATGGCCATGATTCTGCTTGCAGTGTATAGCTCTCATCTGTAGATTTGATTGTACTTTTTTTCTTTTGCAGGTCACCTGGATGGCCCTGTGTGGCGAATTAGTCTCCCCCAGGTGGCAGATATCTAATATGAAAGATATATGTTTACAACATTTAAGATGTGAATTAATTACGGATCTTAACAAAGTTTTTTTGCATATCCTTTTGAACACTGTCCTCACCAAATAAAATGTTCATTGGGTGTGGAAAGAGAACTACTAGTATAGGGAGTTGAATGGTTTAGCAGATATGCTGTTTCCGCATAAATAGTATAACGCTTGAAGTTAGCAGCGAAATTTAGTCTGCTGCTGTGGCAAGGATAGGTATCGTACACGTGTCGCTGACATCAGATCCGCTCCCCACAACCTCACACTTACCATTCTTCACTTTCGCGTTTTCGCGTGTCCAGAGTTACTACATCTGACGGTCTATTTTCCATCATTCTAGATTCGAGTTATAATATCCGTAGATTTCCTGTCCCCACTCCTTGCCGAGGATTCCCCTTCAGGGCTGTCCACGGCGAGGAGCCCACCACTCAACTTCCACTTGCCTTTGGGATAACCGACGACAGCCTCGATATTGTCATCTCAAGCATAGAGATCTCCAAATCACCCCTTTCTGATTCTTCATCCCCTCGTTATGGTGTCCATTGTCTTCATCCTCAACCCATCCCGCAATTCGGTGACCAGCAGCAATGACTGATCATTCTGTGCTCAAATCAAGGCTTTCAGCTGAATCCTGAAAATCGTCTGGACTTCTGTGAAGTAGCTCTCTCTGGCCAGCATTTTCAGCTGTTTTCACGGATGCTGATTAGCCCGTGCTTAGCTAACCTTTCCAAATCCACGAGCTAAGAAACCTTGCTCGGGGAAAGCTTGTTACAAAACACCGCTTCTCAGAGTCGCTTTTGTAAGGAATTTCATCCTGAAAGCCATAATAGGTCGCGATAAGCATCGCGATTGCCTCCTAAGAGCTCGTAGTGCATGCTTAGAGCCCCTAGGCCCAAGTGACCCCTAAATCGACTCAAGATCAGCTAGATTCCCAACTCTTTCAAGCTTTTTTTGAGTCGACTCAAAAAAGGATTCCCAACTCTTTCAAGCTTATCCTCTCATGGCGTTCGCCGCCACAGCTTGCGTCCCGTCGTCCGTAGGCTTTACTGGCCGAGCCGTTCAGGCGGAATCATCGGACAACTCAGTTAGCTCTCCTAGCAGAAGATTCCGGTACTCATCCAGGCCGCGATCGCTTGCGATCAGCCCCAGCAGCTCTCACATCCCGAGCAGTTCTCGCAGCTTGAGCAATGGTCATGGTTTCTTGAGTAGCGGATCGTCGACTTTCTCTGGCGAAGGTCTAGACGTCGTCTGGGTGCCGTTGACGGCCGTGCGAAACCGTCGCCTGCGATCAGCAGGTGCGTGTGCGATAGATGGACTTTGCGTATCAGCGTTTTCACGCTGCAGTTTCTCAGTTCCAGATCCTTTTACTTTTGGTTCATCGGGAATGGCGAGAAATCGCGTTTCGGAGCCCCAGACCACCGAGACTGACCATTTTGTCCGCCAACTGAAACCTACAACTTCTTCCCTGGCCTTTACGGTGATCCGCCGTGGGGAGATGAGACGTGCTGACGCTAACTGTCATCATGATCATGAACTTCCGGCTGTAGTCATCGAAAGTGTAGAGAATATTGGATTACGGTAAGGATTATGGGGAATAATGCGTATCGAAGAAGCAGGCTAGTTGTGTCTGCTGGCACGCTAGGTTGCGTCTGCCCCTGGTAAGTTCCATGTGCAAGTACGTTACGTCTGCTGGTATGTTACAACTGGTGAAACGTTGCAACTGATTCGCTACCTCTGGAGCAGCTGGGGGACAGTCAGAAACGGATTTGAGTGCTACCCGTCTTTCCTTACTGTCGTAAAACATATATCGTCGAAGAGAAATCCCTCCCCGTTTTATCGAGGTGCCATTCTATTTGTCAACCTGATTTACTATCTTCCCGACTTTCCCTCGTCGCCGTAAATCCTGTTTCGCCGTCCCATGTTCCGACCTGCAAGAACCATTTCCCCTCATTTCCGCCTTCCCCCTACTCATCCCCACTCCCCGCTTCTCCCTTCATCCCCCTTTCCTGCGTCCGGGGCTTCCTTTCCCGCTTGACCTTCCGCGCTGCCCCCGTCAGCCTCCCGCGTGGCGCAGGCTGCAGCAGCAGCGGAGGCGAAGGGCGCGGAGGCGGAAGCGCAGGCGGGGGGGAGCGCGGAGGGCGAGGGCAAGGGGAAGCAGCAGCGGCGGGTGGTGGTGACGGGCATGGGCATCGTGTCGTGCCTGAGCATGAACGCGCACGAGTTCTATCAGAAGCTGCTGGACGGCACCAGTGGCATCTCCGCTATAGAGGGATTCGATGCCTCTGAGTTCCCCACTGTAAGAGTTGGCTTGATTGGTAGAGGTGTCAATTCAGGAGTTATCAGGATAAGATACAAACAGAGACTGCGGGAAGAATCAGCACAACCATGAGCAAGCATTGCAGGGGAATAACGAGAAGTGCTCAAACACAGTTCTGGTGAATCCCCATTCCCTAGCGCGCGTGGGGAAAACGAAGGACTTCTAGAAAACGAGCTACTTGCCACTAAGACGGCTTGTCCCCCTGCCCTCCACCCACAACCCCTCTCCTCCTCACCCATCCACGCCTGAACTGTCTCCCGCTGGCAGCGCCTTGAAGGGCAAGTCGTGAATCCGCCTCTTCCCCCTTCTTCTCCCACCCACATCCACCATTATTCTCCTCCTTTTCCATCTGCTTCTTTCCCCTCTCCCAGCGCATTGCGGGCGAGATCAAGGAGTTCAAGGACAAGGGCTATGTGCACCCCAAGATGGCGTGGCGCATGGACAAGTACATGCGCTACCTGCTCACGGCGGGCCACTTGCGCCTGAGATGACTTGTCTCCCTCGCCTCCACCCGCACCCCCCTCCCACCCATCGATCCAACCCTGATCTGTTTTCACCATCCAGCGCATTGCGGGCGAGATCAAGGATTTCAAGGACAAGAGGTACACGCACCCCAAGATGGCTTGCAAACCTTCCTCTTCCCCCTCTCCTCCCATCCATACAGCGCATCGCGGGAGAGATCAAGGATTTCAAGGACAAGGGGTATGTGCACCCCAAGATGGCGCGCCGCATGGACAAGTACATGCGCTACCTGCTCACGGCGGGCAAGCGGGCTTTAAGGGACGCGCACATGAGCAAGGAGGTGCAGGAGGGGTTCAACAAGCAGAAGTGTGGCGTGCTCATTGGCTCCGCCATGGGCGGCATGCAGGTGGGCTGGGCGGAATGGAGGTGGGCTGGGCGGCAGAATCTCAGAGGTGAAAGTCAAGGTGGATGGCAGGCAGACTGTCAGGTGGACGGCAGACCGTCAGGAGAAGGCGGGAGGGGCAGTCTGTCAGGTGCTGTATGTTGCTGCAGGATATGCCTTGAATGGACAAGTACATGCGCTACCTGCTCACGGCGGGCAGGCGGGCTTTAAGGGACGCGCACATGAGCAAGGAGGTGCAGGAGGGGTTCAACAAGCAGAAGTGCGGTGCTCATTGGGTCAGCCATGGGCGGCATGCAGGTGCGCCGGGCGGCAGACAGTTTAGGTGGGCGGCAGTCTATGCGAGTCAAGGTGGGCAAAGGGCAGGCTGTCAAGGTTGGGGGCTAGCAAGCAGACTGTCAGGTTCCCCATGATGCTCCAGGAATGTAATGAAGTCTGCTCGTTACCTCTCATCGTTTCGTAGTCAGTGTCAGTGTCTGCTTGTTATTTTCTGCGACCAAGGTCTTCAGCATTGTACCAGCGCACACTCCTTGTCTCCTTTCCCAGTACTGTTTCCAACTCTCTCTCCCTCCAACTGCCCCCTCTCCCATCCCCTCCCCATCCTCAAGTGCGGTGGAAGCACTCAAGGTGTCATACTGCCGCATGAACCTTTCCCTTCCCTCCACT